TCTTTCAATATTGAAAAAAAAGGAAGATCAAGTGACAGCATGGAGAGAAAGGGAAAAAAAAAAACAGCAGCTTTGAAACCCAGATCAGATCCACAGAGCATCTGGGAGCAGGAGCACCGACATCATGAACCAGGAAAATGTCTGTCAGGAGCTGAAACAGACCTTGAAGAGCGTAGAAATTCTATTAGCTGCAACAATGTGCGAACCTCAGTGGGATTTCATAAGAGACGCGACGAAAAGAACAATAAATGTGATAGAAATTAATTTAACTGTAATGATAATCAAATTTGTATGACATTTTTCCATTGAAAGCTTAAACAAGGACCTGGTTTATTACCAAACCGCCATGATATTAACCATATCAAATATCCCAGTTGCAGGATGGGAGTTCATCTGGGAGGCAGGAATACAAACTGCTTAGTTTTGCTTGCTGAACATGTGCAGATAAAATGGAAGTTCTGAGAAAAGGAAAGAAAGAAAGTTAGTCATATGATGTATTTCTACAGCTTTCCTCTACAGCTCCTAATTAGTTGAGACATTTTGCTTAGTGGCTTGGCATTTTCGCCACAGGGGGCTGAAACAGTAGATTGTATTGGACATGCAAGCAGGAGGGCACAACCTAAAAGGCTGAGTCAGGAGTCCACATCCTTTGCCTGACTGAAACTGTGTAAAACATCGCCTAACAACCCGCAACATATCAGAAATCCAGGCGAAATGTGAATTTAATGTAACGGTATTTTAGGCAAGGTGAGGAAAATTGGTGTTAACTGAACAGCATACGGACTAGAGAAATGTGCAGAAACAAGCGTTCTTTTAATATTTTATTATTTTATGTCCTGCTTCTTTTTTTTTTTTTTTACATCACCCCACCATCACAAGACTCATTCATCAGTGGCAAAGGCCTAAATAGAGATGTTTCATTAGCCCGTTGCTGAGACAAACACATTTGATGGATTAAACAGTCAAATATAACAAGATGCTTGAACTGCTGTCCTGGTTGTTAAGGGAGATCAAAGTGGGGCCTGAGGGTTTGGTAAGTGTGGGGAGCGGGATTGGTTCGACAGAGCTCCAAAAGAACAAGTGCTGGACCAGGAAGATATGACATCAGACGTGAGCGCTGCATTCCCTTAGGCCTGTTCTTTCAAAACCGTCAGCCGTGTCTGCACCAAACGAGCTGCAAGGAGAGGAAGGCGCAAACATTCCTTAGGAGAGCGGTTTTAATCGAACAATGAGGAGAAACCCAATCCGGTGAAGTTGCGTGGTCTTACAGTGGCTGGCTGACGATAGAGAAATCTGTTCATTTAGTCTGCACATTTTCTGCTTAGTGTGAAAAATGTTGCAAGTTATATGCAAATTAAGACTCCTACATAAGACTAGCAGTTACTGTCACTTTTATCAAAATATATATGCGTTACTAAAATCACAAACCTATTTCAAAATGTGAAACAGTAGTTTCACTAAAAACCCTGCATAAAAGCTGCAATATTTAACTTTTCTTACATATTTGCTGAAATTACCGTTATGTCATGACAGTACAATTAAAGACAAAAATACAATTCCTCTTGCCTTCTACAGCTAAAAACAGAACCACATAGCCTGGTCAGAAACAACCATCAGAGCCAGAAGGAGAGTCTTTGCGCTGTCAGTCACTCCTGTGTACGTGCTGCTCTCACACTCCCCGTTGCTCTCCCTATGCTGCAGCTGCTTCACTCCAACATATCTTGTCACAAATGCTAAGACTAGTCAACAGAACAGATAAAGGTGGATAAATGTCTCCTTCAATGGTAAGTTGTTTTTCTGCCATTAGCACATTTAGCAGCACATACGTGAGATTTATGGATGGCACTAAGACCTTCTTTCTGGTTTAGATTCGCTGTTTTTGGTCAGAAGCAGTGAATTTGTTCAAATAGCAATACCAGCACATGGAGAGGGTAGAGAAGCTCAATATTTTCACAAATCATCTGTTTCATATTATATTGTCACAACATAATACAAACATTAGTGACAGTTACAACAAATATGGGAAAAACATTCTTTGTAAAAGTTACATACTTCACCATTAAACCTTTGCGTGTTTTATTTTGAAAGAGACTCCTTTATCCAAAAATATTAGGCAGTGAACAGGTTAAAGTGCAACTAAATCCCAAATCAACTTTCTTTTTGAAGATGAACTTTATAAATTGGTCTTTAAGGGTGCTATATTTATGTTTCTGTCCCAATTTTGACATCTGGTCTAAAACCATTTATGTGTTGCTCTCTCTGAGTTGAATGGTTGCTACTGCAGTCAGATTTTCCAAATGGCTACAACCAGCACCGTTATTAGCCATTTTGGTGCCCTAAGCACAAATGGTTTGTCATTCTTGAAGCAGGGCAGATTTGACAGATGTAGCAATTTAACAAGTGATGATATCTCATGGTCTTTATTGCTTTTGTATTTATCATTTTTCATATCTTTCATTTGTTCAAAGCATTATGCAGCTGCAATGAAATCTAGGTGTAAAAGTTTGCTTTGCCATGTTATTACAAACTTAGCTTGTCTCATTCAGACAAGCTAAGGACAAATACTAATAGGACAAAAACTGCATCCAGGCTGAGGTTTTTAATTTTTCTGAATGCCACCTTGTATTGATGACATCGTTTAAATACTGAGTTTAGTTCTATTCCTTATGACTTTGTTTGGTAGATTACCTAGCAGTGTTTTGTAAATGAAATTTTAAAGTTTGATTTAAACACTACACAAAAGTAAGATAGAACAAATACATAAAATTAAGCAAGTACTACAAGTTAAAGGTTTTTCTAACTATATTTCTTTCTCGAAGTCGATGATTTCCCACTTTAGTTCCAGTTTTTAATCATGTGGTAGAAGGTTTTAAAGGTGAGTTTAGTCATTTCTCCATAGAGGTTTTCTCTTCTCGATGCCAATGATCTGACCTTTCTTAAATAGGCTAACATCTTTTCCATGATCACAGGGTGTGTGTTTGACATGGTTGTTTAAGAAATGAGAATCTCCTCACTGCATCGGTTTGGTTAAATAATTTCTTGCCAGCTGAAAGTTGACTGCCCATCTCAATAGTTTAGGACAGTATTCAAAAAGATCAAATGCTTATTTGGCCCTTTTTATTATCGTTTTACTTTTAAAACTGGAAGTTTGTTGACGTTCTTTGTCCACTATTTTTTTCTTTAGTGGAGGTTTTTCAAACTACTCATCTTAGGTAAAAGAACATCTTGTTCAGTAATCTTCTACCAACTCGTAAAAATTGTTGCAAAATTTCACTCTATTACAAACCCTTCAGGAAAAACTTTGTCCAAAAGAATCATTTTATAAAAAACAGCAACTTTGGGATATTGCACCAATTTTGCTGCAGGGGGAGGAGAGAATAAGGCCTACTGCATGACTTAAAGATAATTATATGACTGCTCAGAATATAAAGGTTTTTACTTGGTAGAAATTGCAACAGCCCTAACTGCAGTATGTTAAGGAGGTGCAGCAGTCTGACAGCTGACAAAGACACAAAAGTGAATGAGACTGGGAATAAGAAAGAATTCTGCTGCTTATGTAATGATGTGTAATATTGTAAAATTATAATGATAAATGCATATAAATAAACCTTTAGTATTACCAAAATTTGTGCTCGTGGGCACATATTGCAAATTAACTCATGCTGTGACTAATAAGAATTATGCTGCATTCAGTATGTGTTAGCGGTCAAAGGTCAGCTCTCGGGATGATGTCAAACCTGAGTTGAGCACATCTTCAACCAAATTGGACAAACAGTATGATTTGTTACTTGCAATAAAACCAGACAATGCATTCCTCTGCCATTTAGGCATAAAGGGGTGTGCTCACACAGGTATGCATGGGGTATGATGACACATTCAGTAAATCAGACAAGATACTATACACAATATTTGGCTCATAAAAAATAAGACTTTAGAAATACTTTTTAGGTTTCACAAATTGTATTTTGAATAATTTATAATCAATGAGAATAAGTCAGTTCAGCTCTGAATTATTAATATATTTAAGTTTTGTAAACATTACCATCTTTAGCAGCTAATGTTTCGCTATTTATGGCATGGACAAATGGTTTCAATAGTGCTTTAAGAATGGTGGGCCAGCATTTTTCCCAGGATTTTTGAAAAACAGTTTTCTGTTTTTCATGATGAACCCATCAACAGTCCAAACAAATGTGCACACGATGTTACATGCACCAAGGTTATACTGAAACTGAACTTGGGTACTCTTATTTTGAAGTAGTAATTTTAACAAAGGTCTATTACATTATATTTATCAAGAGTTCATTTGATCCTCTCCATTTCAAAATCTAAGCTAAACAAGAAAGTGCGACAAGATTTTGTGGAAGTGTTATGAGTCTAAAAAATCCAAATAAATTCAAGCGCTTTAGGGAGTCTTTTATGTTGAAGTTAGATGGGAACTAGTTCTTGAGGTACCAAAACAATATCATACATCTATCATGTCTAATCAATACTGAGCACAGAATCTGTAAGATACACTTTGGGATTTTGTGAAGTCACAAAAAGGGACAAATTTCAGTTATTTCTTTAATGTTGGGACCACTTTAGAAATAAATGAGCATAGAACCCACAACAGTCAAACTTGAGCAAAAATGATTCTACATTTATTACAGAATCTTCAAAACAAAATTTGTAATCTGTCAAACCTTTGCTTTATTGGTGAAAAAGATTTAGATTTTCCTCAAAAATGTAAATATGAATTCAAAATAGCCATCTCATCTCATGAGATACATTGTTAAGTATGCTTTAATCAATATGGAAAATTAGGTTTATCTTGTCCAATTCTCTTTTCGCAGAAACTCCTCCACTAAATATGTTACAAAAACATAAGCTTTGGTGGAAACATCAGCTGTGAATTTGGCAGCGATGCATTAACTTGACCTTCTAAACATTTTCTGTAATGTCCTTAAATCCACAAAGAAATGCATGAACATATGTCTGAAAAAAAATATATTACCACCGACCTTGTGCAAAGTGTGACCAATCCATTCAACTTCCTCTTGAAAAACAAGACTGGAGTGGAGAGAATTAGCATCTGCTGTATCCCACCCTCTTGCTATATGTGTGGACCACTCGGAGGACATATGATATCACACGTGCTCCGTTTCTGAGGGACACAAACAAGGGAGGCAAGAAAAGAGAGGAAGTTGTGAGAGAGGGGAGGAGACGGAGGCTTTTGTCCTTGCATTTCTCACGGTTGGCATCGGAAACAGTTTGATGCCGTCAATCAAACGTGAAGCCCAGAGAATGGGTTGGCCTATTTGTCTAATGAAAAGGTCAAAGGGTGAGATATGGGAGTACAGGGGGGGATAAGCAAAGCAGAGCAATGCTCAGACTCCCATGAGGGACCACCAAAGGGACCATATAATGTTTAGCGAAGAATTATTTTGATTACACATACTGACACCGGCTTTCATGTAATGATCTGTGCTTTCATCTGGCCACTCAGTGCCATTACTTTGCCTGATTGCTGCCTTTTGTCATGCATATGTGCACTTGTAAGCGATTAGAAAGGCAGACAAAGGCAGAGAAATTTATGTTCCCCTGGAGTGTTGTACCTGGGGAAATCAAGGTTCTCTAATCCACCACATCAAATTACAGAAACAATGTTTCTCTTTTCCGACACAGTGAAGAAATCAGCTTAGTGGAGACAGCTGAGTATAACCGCTTTACCTGCAATCCTAACTATAGTTACAAACATCGCACACAAGTCTTTTGTTCTTGCTTTTTGTTTTGTTGGTCACACTTCCATATATGAGATCAAATAAAGTTTATTCTTAAAGATGAATTGAGTAAATATAAAACTGTTTTCAAGCACTTTTTTTATTGGGAGGGAAAGCTTGTCCAAACCAACCTGTCCATATCTGAAACAAATAACGGATGATGCTACCATCAAATGTTCGTGAAAAATTATTTGGGCAAATATGAGCTAAATTTGAATTCCATTTTTTGCTCCTATTTAGATTTTTTTATAACCCCCCCAACCTGTGGGCCTTTGGTGCATTAAGATCTCCTGGATGAGTTGTGAGTGAAATCTTGGGAGTAATTTTGGTCGGCCAGAAACTCCTGGGATGGTTCATTACTGTTGTATGTTGTTCCCACCCCCATTTGTAGATAATGGCTCTCATTGTGATTGACAGGATTCTTCAATCCTGGGAAAGAAACAGCAACCTATTTCCAGACTATGTTCACTTGTCTTGCAAGTTCTTTAAACTGGTGCATAAGGTGGTGCTTTTTTTGTTTTTTCAATGTACTTCTATTTGTCAGACCGGTTTATTTAAGTAATTTTTTTCTTTCTAGCAATTGGGTTTTTGTGTGGCTGCAGCTAAACAGAAGTCAGGGTTCATGAATCAGCGTTAACTCATTTAACAACATGAGCATCATTTCAACTCGTGGCAAAAGGTTTTTTGTGTGTGACAATTTTAAGTTATTGGTGATTTTAATGCACCTAAGAAGACAAAGATGATATATTTTAAAAGTGAAATAAAGTGAAGACCCACCAAGCTTGTTTTTTATGTTTCCTGCGTATTTTTGGAAGGTGTTACAGGCATTTGCCACTACTTACGGTTTTTTAATTTTAATTGCCCAGAGGATTACAAATTATTCATGTAGAATATTACTTCTACTTGCAACAGCTCACTAAGAGACTGATCTTAAATGCATAGATAGAAAAGCTTAACTAGTTCAGTTTTAATTGAGGGAAAAAAATAAAAGACTTGTCAAAAAAAATAGATTGTGGTTGGGCAAAATTTGCAGATAAATAATCAAGAGGTTCATGAAATCTGTTTCAGTCCATTTTTCAGATTGATTTTCTTATCTCCAAATTTCTTTGAAAAATAAATAGATTACGAGGGATTACAAAGGAAGCAGGAAAAGGTCAAGTTTTTTCAGTGCTGAAAATTGTAAGAAATAAGGTGATAGGTTACTGTAGATTGTGTTGCTTTGTGTGCCAATTAAAATATTCCTCTGCGTAAAATGTGGAAAAAAAGAAAACTTTGCTCATTTTTGGTAAAGTGACACAAAGTCATGTAATTCAGCGTAATGAAAAAATGTGAATTTTGGATATGTCCCCTTTAACTTCTGCTGACATCAGACCAGAAAACCTTCTTCCACTGTGTCTCCTATGAAGATTGTTAAAAACTGCCAGTCGTTCAAATGACTTCTGACTTCTTGCCATTCATAAAACCTAAATTTGTGGAAATCACAGCAAATAGTGTTCATGTCAACATTATCCTCTCAACCTGAGCTGTGAATCTCTGAAGTTCCTCCCCAGGTTTGCAAGGCAATCACAGTTGAATAAGAAACGGCAGAGTAAGTTCTTTCAAACATCTTCCTGTTGATGAAAAATAGACTTGCAACTGTAAAACCATGCATTTTGGAGAGCCCTGACCTTCAAATAAAAAAAAATCTCCCATGTTGATTTCAGCAGATGAAACCAGATCATCCTGCCACTGCTCTCTGTTTATAGTGGCTGCAGCCATTTACTCTGGTAAAACGTATATGTTACTTGAAGCGACCACGTCAGATTTCAGTCATAAAATGTTGTAAAGAGCATCTTGGGGGTAATTCACATATGACACCGAAATATTCAGCTGCCAGTGGAAAAACAGGATGTTGTCCATGTGTGAAAATGGCTTTAGGAAAAAGAAAGTGTCACTTTCTGTAGTTGTGTAAATGCATGCTGTGGAGTCAACCACTTTGAATTCTGACAGAAAAACCTATTTTTTTTCTTTTCTTTTCTGTCCATTTCTTTTTATATATATAAACCTTCAGAAGTAATTCTAACTAGATAAGTAGGTGTTTCTGGCTAAACCAAATTTAACAAAGGGTAAAATCTCAGCAGTCAAGTTCAAAACCAAACTCAAGTCCACTGGGGGAAAGTCCCGCAGTCTGGTTCAGCCACCGCTGGCGCCTCGGCTTCTATCACTGAAGAGATGCTGGATAATTGAAGGCTAAGTGGTTGAAGTGAATCAGATGACTGGCCTTATAGCAAAAGGAAGAAGTTACTCAAAAGTCTGAGACTGAAATTGCTTGAGATTTCAGGAAGGTCAATAAAGAGGAAATTGAAAGACTCAAGTATGAGAATTACAGTTTGGTTTTCCTCAGCCAGTTTAATCTGATGCTGTCTTGACTATACTTTGTGAAAAAGCCTTGGAATGTTTAAAGGGTGTATTGAAAAAAACATTTATGAGAAAGATTGAAGACAATGATCATTTCTTTGATAGACATTTCTTTGGTTGGAAAGCAACTGCTGCACAGTGAAAGTTAAAAAAAATATCTGCACCCTAAAGCTCTTAGTTCAGATCATAGCTGGATTCAGAAATATGATGGTTGCATGACGGTAGAAATTCAGAGATTACAGTTACAGAGCCTTTAAAAATGACTGGCATTCTCAGCTTGCATTGCTGTAAGTTATACTTCTGGATGCACAGAACTAGAAACTTCAGCTATTTCTTATTTCAGATTTGGGTACCATTTAGGATTTGAGCTGATCCCCATTTGCCTTCAAATGTCCTTGAGGTTCTGATATTATACTACAAAGACATACAAAATAACAAGATGTGCTGCAGGCCTGCTTATAGACACAGCTGTTCTGAATTAGAAAATTAGGAACTGTATGAAAACATATGTTCCTATGACTGCATTTGTAAAATGAAAATAGCTAAATTTGATTCTTGTTTCTACAGTAACAATTTGCACACAAAAGTCAGCAAAATCCAATTTCTTAATGCAGTATTTTTCACAATTAGATCTTGAAAGTCCTCCAAAAACACAAATTATAATTCACTCAGCTGTTCTATTATCTTCTCTCAACTTATAAGTGTGACCTACAGGTTCTTACATTTAAAAAAATGAGGATTTATGAGTTTCCGCCTTGTCAAGCTAAAAATCAACCTTCTTACTTGACACTTCTCTTATTTTCAACAATTGAGTAGAACTGTGGGTGTACTTTACTAAAGATGTGACTCATTTTATCACCTGCTATGCAACATGGATGCATTCATGGATGTGTTCTGCAGTGCCATGTTTGATTTAATTCATCTTCAAGACAAAACATTCAAATCTAGTACTTTTCAAACAACTCATGAAGACCAAAAATAAGTCCAAGGTTTAAGCAGCTCTGATTATAATAACTTGGCCACTCTACAGAAAAACAGATGATTGAACTTCCCCTGATTGCTCCACGGCCTGAGTAAATTTTCATAAAATGAAGAATGGAGAGAGGGAGGTAGAAAAAAAAAGCTAATTTCCATAAGACTATAAATAGAACCAACAGAACATGTACTAGTTTTGCATAACCCCCATTTCCTTTACAAAACTCATAAAGGTCGACTTCTGCAGGTAGAGTGACTTCCATGCGCCGCGCGTGCCACCTTATTTTGGCGTCACAATTGATTACAACATCTGTGCGATGACTAATGCCATTGCCATAGTGACACCTGTGATTGATGGCTTTGTTAAGAGGAATAGTTACACATCATTAAACTTTTGTAATAGTGCATGGCAGTCCTCTCAATAGCTGGGGACAAAGCAATTACCAAGTCATTAAAAAGGGAATAGACTAATACAACACAGTGCACACTATTATGAGTGACATGCCTCCAGATCAGGCTGTGTGATGGTTTTCCTAACATAAAAAACATAACTTTGTGTTCCCATCCAGGGTCACATTAATGTAGATTTAGATTTAGCTGAAATATATTCTCGCATTAGGCATCCGATTTAAAGTTATTCTGTTTCTCATGAATGGAGAAGAAAGGTACAGTCATTACCTCATCCTGTATCGCCTTCATTTTACATCACAGATGCTCTAATAGTGTCAACTTGGATTTAAATTTCCATCGGGACTACATTTGGTTGCATCTTGATGATAATTTGATGTCTAAATCAAGAAACTTTGTTCAAAGGAAAGCCATGCCGCTCTGTACCAGTAAGCCAGAGGCAGTGCAAAGCAGTGCTGGCAATGATTGAGAGAACTCGAAATTCAAATGAGAGAGCGAGAGGAGATGGAGCGAAACAGATGTGCTGTTGTTTCGGAGAGGGTAGCATGGTGCACACGGTAAGCACACGCAACACACACACCGCAGCACACACAAAGCTATACAC